ATAATTATCTTATAGAGCCGAAATATCAATGCTCTATTATCAAATAAAATATTTTTCATTATTTTTGTGAAAATATTGCTAAAATCTTTTAAAAAAATAATAATATTTTTTTTAAAAAAGTCATATGAGGTCCTGCCTTGTGACCCTAGTTATGTAGAATTTTATAAGGAATACAAAAATGGTAAAAGAAATAGGGGTGGCCATTTAAAATTTTAGGGGTAGGTGCCCTGGGGGTCAAGGGGTTGAAAGTAACACGACAACAAATGCCTCAAAAATTGTCCCCCTTGATATGTAAATTGAGTGTTTTGCCAAATTTTCATACTATCATCGGTAGAGGCAATATTAAATACTGTTCGTTTTCAAATTGTCACCCAGTATAAGTAAGACGTATACTGACGATAAGTATTGAGAGTGGGATGAGGGTAATATATAATACAATACTCATTCTCCCACCGGAAATGCATTTATCCATTCCATATTTGATACGGATATCGCTAAAGAGCTTTGTGTAAACATATAGTCCTGGGTCGATATCTTACAGCAGCTACACAGGATGTTACTAAATAAAATCTGTAGTATATATTGATTTTATTGGGAAATAAAATGGCATTTTCTTATAGATAGTAGAAATCGCGAGAGTTTTTGTCTTTTTGACATTTTTTGATAATGTGTATGCCACCTTAAATTTTGATGTACAGGGTGTCTCACTAAGAATAGCTCTCGGCTGTATCTCGAAAAGTATAAGCCGTAGGTCTTACGGAAAAAAAATATTGATAACTAAAGGGGCTATGAGAAATTGCTGGTAATTATTTTCAAGTTTGTAAAACGGCCGCTAGAGGGCGCAACTGCTATGGAAAATAAGAAAAACATTTTTTTACAGAATTTTGCCTAGATAACGGGTACTATAAATAATAGCTTCATAATCTTCAGTAAATTTTGGATTTTTTTGTTAGAACCATTTTTCCCTATCTGCTAAAATAAAGTGGTGGGGGAAGGTTAGATCTATCTTTATTTAAATATTAATAACTCCGGACTGGATGATCAGAATCCAATAAACAAGGGCTCGTTTAAAAGAGCGTTTCTTACTCTATATTATACTATAAAAATAATAATAATAAGGTTTTGAACGTAGACGCTACGTTCAAAACCGGCGCTTTTTTACAATTTAACAAACATAGGGCGTTTTTTCAAAAAAATTAAATACGATACTATATGTAATTTTAGCTGACAGTAAAGAGTAGTAAAAGCTTAAAAAGTCAGCGAACACTACATCTTGATATCTTCTTTCAAACCGAAGATATTAGCAAAATTATAATAAATACCAAAAAATAAGCCCTTAGTTCCCTTATTTTTACAACACGGTATCAGTAGCTCTCTTGATTATGCCCATTTTAACAAAAAAAAAATAAGATAGAAACAGTTAGTTTATTTTAAAATCGACAAAATACCATAATACCAGATGTATTAATATCTAATAAATAAGAAATTAATAACAGTGAACAAGAAACAATGATTCAGTGAAGGCTTTGGAAAAAAGTTGCTTTTGACGTAATAGTATAAACGTCAAATTGTTATTAGATCAACATTTTGATAGTCTTAGCAGCGCTTTTTATCTTTTAATTGCTTTTTCAAAATGCCTTTATTATTCGAAATAGTTCAGTGCAGTTGTTGGCATTTGAAAAAGCAAACAAAAGTTAAAAGACTATTAAAATGTTGATCTAACAACAATTTGACGTTTATGCTATTACGTCAAAAGTAACTTTTTTGCAAAGCCTACCATGACTTCACCGAATCATCGTTTCTTGTTTACTGTTATTAATATCTTAATTATTAGATATTAATACATCTGGTATTATGGTATTTCGTCGATTTTAAAATAAACTAACTGTTTCTATCTTATTTTTTGTTAGAATGGACATAATCAAGAGGGCTACTGATACCGTATTCTAAAAATAAGGTAATTAATGGCTTATTTTTTGGTATTATAATTTTGCTAATATTTTCGGTTTGAAAGAAGATATCAAGATGCGGTTTTCGCTGACTTTTTAAGCTTTTACTACTTTTTACTATCAGTTAAAATCACATATACTATCGTATTTAATTTTTTTGGAAAAACGCGCTATGTTTGTTAACTTGTAAGAAAGCGCCCCTAGCGTCTACGATTAAAACCCTATTATTATTATTTTTATGGTATAATATAGAGTAAGAAACGCTCTTTTAAACGAGCCCTCGTTTGTTGGATTCTGATCGTCCAGTCCGGAGTTATTAATATTTAAATAAAGATAGATCTAACCTTCCCCCACCACTTTATTTTAGCAGATAGGGGAAAATGGTTCTAACAAAGAAAATCCAAAATTTACTGATGATTATGAAGCTATTATTTATAGTATCCATTATCTAGGCAAAATTCTGTAAAAATCCTATTTTTTTTATTTTCAATAGCAGTTGCGCCCCCTAGCGGCCGTTTTACAAACTTGAAAATAATTTCCAGCAATTTCTCATAGCCCCTTTAATTATAAATATTTTTTTCCGTAAGCCCTACGGCTAATACTTTCCGAGATACAGCCGAGAGCTGTTCTTAGTGGGACACCCTGTACCTAATATGTTTGTTTACGTTTTCATCAGGGTAGGACTAAGGATTTGATATTGAAGAAAAATCGGCATAATTGGGGACGGGCTACAGAATGACACCCTCGACGTTTCGAACCGATGCCTCTAAGTGAACAAAATCATCAGGATTTTTCCTAATTATGGGTCGATGGGAAATTGGAACCAAACTCGGCACGTGGATAGAGGTACCCGAATGGAGTCCTCAGACGGACAGACGATTATTTTAGTATAAATTTTGTGAAAGCGAATCAAACTATTTATTAATTTTTAATTTATTACTTTTTCAACGTTTCAAACTATACTTTTTCAAACATGTTCTTCAAATTCTTCAATTTAATAGCGGTTAGTAAGGAGTTTTGGTTCAAATATGCGCACATAGTGCACACACATTTTTTTTTATTTGCAGAAACTCGAATAGAATCAAGTATTAGCGAGTGCGTTTTTATTATGGACTAAATTGGAATTTTACGAATTTTCTTAGAACAGTGATTTCATAAATTACATATTACAAAAAGACGCAATAATTTCTATTTATACTGTAGATAAGTGACACCTATCGTCAATATTGACTGAAAGATTTAGTTAAACGACATAATAAACCGTACCATTTATGTACAGGGTGGGTAAATAATTGCGCAAAGTGGATTCCCATACTTAATGTTGACGTTTGTGAAAAAATTGTTTACCAGAATTAATATATGTATTGATATAATATAAAATAGTGAAATAAGGTAAATAGTTAAGAATGTCTTAAGAAATTTACCTTTTTGATTCAATATACTTTAAGTAATTCTTGATTAATTCTGTATACAGGGTTGTTCACCACATACGACACGGAGTAATGTAGCTAAACGATTAGATTTTCACAAATTGTAAGTTTTGGGTTCTGTGATGGACTATTAGAGCTACAATTTAAAAATATTTTTACAAGATATAGAGTGTCTCAAATAAATATAAAATATCAAAGTTGTATTTTTTTAAATGGAACACCCTGTATATTATTACATTTTTAGTTTCTACGATTAAAATAAAGGTAAATTTGATTAAGGTTTATTACACTTAAACCTTACCGTTTTTGAAATATTTTCAATTTTGTGAAATTGCAGTAAACATTTTAAGGCTTCATTTCTCCAAGGGTATCAAAGTTTTTAATACTAAATATTTACTGAAGTTTATTTATTGGTCACTTATTGTGTTGCAATAATAAAAATAATCCTACCTCATACAGAGTATCTAAATAATTAGTTTAAATAAATTCTAGCTTCAAGCGCCAATAACTTCTTTAATTGAAATGGAATGCCCTGTGTGTATATTTTAGGGGAATCAGATGTATAATTTAATTTTCTATCAAATTGTATTATACCATTTTTCACCTATTCCTTCAAGTTTTCGTAGAAAATGCATTTTCTTATAATTTAGACCTCATTTATCAATATACCCATGGAATATTGACATTTTAGATTATTTTTAAAGCAACAAATGTACAAAATGTACAAGCTGGTAATATTATCGTTTTTAGCAAGATGATAATATCACTAGCCCATTTGTATGCAAAAAGAACTATTTAAACCTTTATAAAAGAGTATACCATTAATTAAATACCTACAACACCATTATTTTCGCCCAAATACTAATTAATTACATACTTAATTGTGTTCGTTAATAAATTATTCTAAATAAATGTACGCTGGTTCTATAATATATCTTTTGCTATGCTCTCCTGAGCAAAGTGCGGGCTGTCTGGCTGCCGGTAGACTACTGCGGTTTATTACTGCGCATCACATCTGTACAGGGTATTTAATTTTAGTGTGTTTTATGGGATTTCTCGTTTATGAGTAGTGATACAATGATGCGATTTTCACATTACTTTGCTACTATTTCATGAAACTAAATATGCTACACATAGGTTTTTCCTAGCCTCCTTAATTCCTAAAATGCAGGGCCAATTTGTGATGCGCAGTAGTGAACAGATATTGAATACAGATAGGATGCGCAGTAGTGAACGCAACGTCGACAGACAGCCAGACGGTCAGCGCTCTGTTCAGGAGAACATAACAAAAGATATATTGAAGAACCAGCTTTCTTAAAATTCTCTCTCGAAAACGTTGCTAGCTCGAGTATAAGTAAAACAGCGAAATCGTTATGAAAATGAAATTATAAAATGACACCAATAACAAACAAATCGTACATCCGATGAACGGAGGCATGAAAATGCAATAAATTTACAAACTGCGTAATTTTCTAACCAATCGAAGCCTTTAAATTCAACCAATAAAATTAATATCGTATCATCGTATCGTCGGATGCATGAAAATGAAGCTTAAGGCCGCGGTGATTAATCTCCTCCGATACATTCTCCATTCTACACCCTGTATATTCAAATGACTCACCTGAAGGTATTTTCCCATTTGTTTCCTGCCTACAGGCATCCTGGAAGCTATCCCCTTCCCCGAATGCAGGTAGCTGCCTAGGGGAACGTAGTTTCCGCACTGATCGAGGGGCGTTTTTACCTCGTCTTCCCCTAGTTTTGTCTCCGATTCGCAGATCGTGGACGTTTCGACGATCAGCGAGGACGGTTGGCGGTCGAGAGTGGCATTTTTCGGCCGATTTTCCAGCGAATGGAGATAGGAATCGTTGGACGTCAACGTCCGCACGTGAAGGTTAGTCGCGCTGATCACCAGTTCCGAATCTTGAAGGTTGGACAGAAGCTTGTGAACACCTGGAGATTAAAAACAAAATGTTAAAGAAATAGAATCATTATCTTTACGAAATATCCACTACCTAAGTTTATACAGGGTGGCGCCTCTCATATGCCGCGGAAGCTCCAAGGAGAACGGTAGTTTATATCGAAATCAAAAATTAAATTTTCGCAGCATATGTAGGCCATATGACTTCGTTATAGCCAACTGAAAGCATTTTATAAAAATATATAGAATTTTACAGGGTGTCCACCAAAAAGAGTTACACATCAAAGTTCTGTTTTTTCTAACGAAACACCCTATATATTAACTGATTTTCGGATTCTAGGAAAAAAATAAAGGTCAGTTTTATTAAAGAAGCCTGTACCTAAAATATATTTGGATTTTGACATATTTCAAATTTCGTGAAAATGAAGAGTAAATTTTAAATTTCAATAACAGCTACTTAAATTTTAGTTAACCTTGTATAGCTTGATAACATCACTTCATTAAATTATTGAATTAAAATATTGTCCTTTAAACTCGGTAAAAAGCGGTCAGATATGATGAAAAGATATTGAAAAGTAATTGTTCAGTATATTTTTTAAAGCCTACTTACCAATTTTTAAAAATATTCAAGGCTTTTTCAAAAATTGTCAATTTTTTCCATGGTATCGAAAATTAAAAAAAACTAATGGAAAAAAATCGTTAGAATTGCACTAAAAAATGAATCACAACAAACTAGGTACATGACTTTGTTTCAAACAATAAAACCTTTTTTAATATTTATCTTAAACCTTTTTGTTCTTATCTCAGAATCGAATGAGATAACTGACTGAGATATATCTCAGAATTATCTAAAGCTCCTTCTACACATAACGTTTTAAATGTCAGGTAAGACGGATTATAAACCGTGTAGGCGTAAAACAGTGTATGCTCTACACTGGAAGCCTAAACTGCGATTTTATGGATTATAAATCGAGTATCCTATCATTATAATTAAGTATTATTATCGTTTGTTGATGTTTACTCTAGTAGAGATAGTTTTAAGTACTGAAGTATCGGCTATTGCTACTTTAATTATTGAGCATGGTAGAGATCAACTTTTGGACCTATAACCATCTAAAACCATATCTGCTTGAGTAGCTGCACAACAGACAATAATAATATGATTTTTCAAAGAGAGTGACATTACATAAATCATAAACACTATTTTAGAGGTCTGTTGACTAGGATCAAAAGCAAAGGCATGGTTTTAATATAAAAAATACGAAAAAATGTTAGTGTGGTTTTCAAAAGCGAATATCTCAAAAAAATACCAGCTATTGAAATGAATCAAAAAATAAACTATCGAGAAAAGATACACCTAGATGATAAACTAATTTTTATATTCCTTGCTTTGTTAACTTAGCAAGAGCAAGATCTTTATCTACCTACCCCACGCTCAGAGTTAGTTAAAAGTTCAATATTATACAACTCGAAAAAAATGCACAATCACCTGCCATTTGAAATCAAATCCATAACATCATTTTTTTCATTTCGCAAAGCATTGAACTCTTATTTACTAGACAAGGCTTTCTACGCCGTAAATGAATTATATTTGAATTGAAAATCGAATTTGATCTTGAAAACACTGGTCTAATGTTTGCTATTGCTATATTTACTAATGACATCGAAATTAATTTATTTAGAGGTTATTTAGGAGAGGAATTATTTAGAGGATATTTTGCTATAAACTGGCTAAATATTTTTGAATATTATTTTAAATTTTTTGTTCTTTGACATTGTAAACATTTATAAATGTTTATTTTAACAATAAGACTGACAATATTATTTATATAATGTTTTGTATTATCTTTTGTTTGTTTGTTTGTGTACCTTGTTTTTATCTACTTTGTTTGTTAGTTTACCTTTGTCTACAAATTGAAAAATTTTTTGACAATAAAGTCATTTATTTATTTACTTACTTCACAGGGTGTTCCAAACTTTCACCAAAATATCAACATTTTGTTTTCCCTCGTATAATTGACAGATGAGAACTTTTATTTATAATTTAGAAAGACATGCTAAAAAGTCAAGTAATTTAGATACAAATTGCTTAAAAAATCATCAAAATGGGTCCACTAGAACATCTACAATATATAAAATGCTAATGTTTATCTGTGTCGTCTCTACTGAAGTAACGACCTACTCTAGAAAGTTGCTTTTTTACTAAAAGATAGCTAATTGGCTCTTCTAAAAACTGTCATCGCCGGATTTTTTGGTTTTCATTTAATTAAAAAAAAATATTTTTTTTTGATGTCGTGGCGGATGCGCCAGGCTTCAACTAGTAATATATGAAACTTTAAAATACATTAGCATAAGGTGTCCGTTTTCGTGCCAGTGAGTGTATTATAAATTCAGTTATATTTTGTTCAGTGTAGGCAAAACGGCAGTTTTGTTGTAAAACCGAATAATCCCGTCAGTCCTCTAGTTTTACTTGTTACGTTTTGACTGAACAGAAAAGACTGACAGGTAAAACGTTACGTGTAGGCGGAGCTTAAGGTACTCATTTAAAAATCATATTGAATTTTTTTAAATTTTGAAAATGATAACCTTGCTCTAATTGTTTTACATCTGATATCTGATAGAATGTGACGTCTTTGTTTTAGTATCTTAAAAATACAATCAATTTTTTATAAAAAGAAATAAATTTTTTACTGTCATAAGAAGAATTATAAGATTGTAAATGATTTAATTAATATATTTTATTCAATACTGATTATTCACAAATTAAAAAAATACATATTTTTTATAAATAATACAACACAACAGAAAATTATGAAAATTTACCCTCCATAAAAAAATCACAATCACTTTTATTTATCCACAGAAATAACACTTAACCACAGATATAAATCGTTTTTTAATTTAAATGTAAAGTACATAATTTTAAGACGTATTTCATTAAACTGTCATCTAATTAGTAAATTTACTTTAAAACTTGATGCCCTTATCTTATCTTCAGAACAACTAGATAAATATAAATAAAAGTACTAGCTAGTATCTAATAAGCATTAGAAAAAAATGTTTAGAACAATGGACTGGTTTTATTAAATCCATTTATGACAGATTTGAGGTAAACAAATACCATAACAAACATAAAACTGTTAATCACAAAGTGTGATCTCATGGGAAGCCCCAACAAAAAAACGTTGCCAAATATTGAAAAAAGGACAATATTAAGTCTGTGCGTAGCCAAATATAACTGTATAAATAAACAAACTAAATTGTTTTTGTAAACAATGATATTTTCTGTACAGGGTGTCCTATTTTAGTTGAAATCATACGGTATCTCCGTTATTAGTGAAGATAGAAGGGTGCCGTTTGCATAAACCTGTCCCACTTTTTTGTCAAACGGAAGATGCTGTCAACAAAATTTTCATAGCCCTCTTCGTTTCTGAGCTACAGGGTCTTTTCGAAAATTTTGCAGTTTGGGACAGCCTCCGTATCTCCGTTATTATGGATGAAAAATTATGGATGAAGAATACAGTGGCGTAGTCTGTTTTTCTACCAGAAAAATATTTTTGAAAATATGAACTAAAGTTATGTTTTTTCAAATGGAACGCCCTGTATATTTATAAATAATATACAGGGTGTCTCAGATTTTAATCGGGAAAATTTAATAGACGATAGAACTTGCAAAAATAAAACAAAAAGTTCATATCAACTTGTAAGATTTAAAGCTTCCTTTTGGAGATACAGGGTGTCAAAGTTACTTAAAAAAGAAAAGAAAATTAGGATATTTGAAAAACCATTTTATCGATTTTGATATAACTTGACCCGTTTATAATACTTACTATGGGACTTAATTTGAGGTAATTAGATTTAAGTTTAATGGCCAGGGGCGGCGGTGGGGCATCACTATTAAATTATATTAAAGGAAAAAATAGGCACGACACTGCTTTTTTAGAAGTTTAATATTATTTTTGAATTTAGTAATTAAAAATATTATTTTTTTGTCCCCAGACTTTTTTGTCTAACCAAGATCCCAGCCGTTGGCCGTCGAGGCCGCCTGACTTAGTGCCCATGGATCTAATCCTATATATAGATTTGCGGAAGAATAAAGGTTCTTTATTCTTCCGTATAATCTAGAGAAGAATTAAAAAATACTTAGCAGTTATGAAAGGTTATCTTTCACCCCTACTGAGTTAATGAATTCCGCGAGAAATGTTCAAAAACTGCCCCGTCTGTCCATAACAGAAGACGGTCGAAACCAAACCAAATCGGACACCTGTAGCAAAATCTCATGTCTTGGTTTGCTATTTATTTTTATTGTTATTAGATATAGTTTAAATGTGTTGATGTTGCTTAAATATATTATTTTAAATTGTTATAAAATTCTGCATCTCTCATACCAAATATTATTTTCGTTTTAATTGATGCTCACAGCTAGATTTTTTTTGCATTACAGCCGGTGCCTAATTATTTACAGCGGGCTAATTTTTATATACTCTATATCTCGAAGAGGAATCGAGCAAAATATCAAGTGTGTTATATTTTTGGAAAGGTAATTTTAAATTCTTTTCAATAAATTAAAAATATACAGGGTGTCCCATATAAAAAATTAAATTTTCTATTGATAATTCTTAAATTATTAATTTTAAAAAAATTATACTTAAACCATTAAACTCTACGTAAAAGGGTGTTTTGGAAATGTTTTCATAAAAATACAAAATTTTCCATGGCAAAAAAGTTACAGCGATTTGTTAAAAATGCACATTTTTGAAGAACACCCCGTAACTCCGAAACGGTAACAGATATCGATATGCGGTTTTCACCATCATGTTTTTGACAAAAATTGAGCTCCAGACACCGATATTAGTTTTTGTCTATCTCCTATAGAAAAGCGTGTTTCCATTTAAAAGCGTCGAATTTGACCCACCCTGTACATGGCGGATGCATGGAAGTACACGTTCTGATGAAAAAAAATTAGAACGGCACTGATAAACCGGAATATCGGCCATTTTTGGTCCCCATCTTAATCTTTTTATTCAAAGATATTTAGTCATAAACTCACCTGGGGATAAATCTAAACTCTCGTTACTCTTGTTCAAAATATTCATTTTCTCAGTGCCTCTGAGACTCCTATACCCCATCCTGTTCCTCTTGGAGATCAGAGTCTCTTCGGAGCTGAACTTCTTGCTGATCTCCTGCTCGGGCACGTGGCTCAGGATCTTCTGCACGCAGGGCGAGAGGTGGGCGAAGTTGTTGAGCTGGTGAGATCTTCTGGTTTGCGTGGACGTTTTGAACTGATGGGTGTCCTCCTCAGGGTTGTGGTCGCGCTGTTTCTTTTGGGTGAGGTACGCGTCGAACGCTCCCATGATACTGGGCATCAGGTCTGGTGATGATCCTGCAACGAAAAGAGAAAGAAAATTATTAATTATACTGTCCTTATTAAGAAAAAAAAATAGTGTGCACTATTTGCCACTTTTTGTAAATAATTTTTTTTCTCTCGATTTTGTTCTCTCGCAGCCATGTCAATTACATATTCTTATATAGAATTGAACGCTCTACAGAAAAGATCTCTTACAATTTTTCGATAAAGCTACTCGTTCAAAAGCTATTCACGGTTAAAGTTAACAACTCGGTAAATTCCTAAATTCTTCAACTTTTTGACAAAATTATGATTATTTTTGAAAAATTTAATCTATTACTGTAAAAATATACCGGGTGTTGCATCGTCGAGCGGGACATAGGAAATCCCATGTAAATTTTAATGAGGTCAATTATTGGCTTCCCTAATTATTTTAGAGAATAATTCTATTTAGGTTTATTGAAGAGCACTAAAACCCACATTCAAAAGAATAACTTTAGATATTTTTTATTAGCTCGTTTACGAGTTATCGCCGATTTCTTTTTAAATATTTCTCCTTTCTTATGGCCCTGTATTTACTTATGAGCACCAGTCAAGGTAAAAGATAACTGTCAAATGCAGTTGTCATTTCAGAAATTTATCTATTTAATGCTTTTTTATTATTGAAAACTCATTCCTACATCGAAAATCTTAAAGATGTATTTATAAATACAAATTAATATGAATTAAAGTAAAATAAAGTAATCAATTACAAGGTTAATTATAGTATTATTACAATACTCAATAACTTATTAATGTAGGTACTATTAAATTGTTAGAACTTTAGGATTTAAGAAGATGTTCAAATATTCCTCCATCGACTGCTAGACAATAACCCAGGCGATCATAAAATTCTCTTCTTACATTCGCTAGTTGGTAAACTGAAATTCTATTACATTCGGCAGAAATAGCATTTTTTAACTCGTCTAGATTTGGGTATTTTTAAAAAATACCCAATATAATAAAAATAAATAATTTGGCGAAATATCAGGAGACCCTGCTGGCCAATTTACAGTATGATTTAGGCCAATAACGTTTCCGTTAAAACTATTATCTAAATATTTCCGAACAGCCAGGGTACTATGTGCCGGGCAGCCATCCATTTGGTACTAAACTTCCTGATTTTCCCTAGCGGCATCATGTAAAGCAGGTAAAATATGATTTTCGAGTGGTTCCAAATAATATTCTGCATTTAAATTTCGCGTAAGAAATAATGGCCCGATAATATTGTGTCCGAATATCCCTGCCCAAACATTTACTTTCTGTGGATATTGCGTCCTTGTTTCGACAAACCTGTGTTGGTTTTCTTTGTTCCAATATCGATAATTTTGAACATTGGGTTCATTATTTAAGGTAAACGTGCATTCTTCAGTGAAACATATGTTTTTTAAAAATTCCCTATTCGTGTTTGCTCTTTCCATCATATATCAAAACAAAACGCCTGCCGCCATATTTCGTCTCCATCTCGTAGCTCATGGTGCTTTTCATATTTGAAGGAATAGTATTTATGTCGTTTCAAAATTCGAAACGCTGTAGTGTGAACTATCGCTATTTCATCCTCAAGTTTCCTTGTGCTGATCTTTCCATCGTTCTCTTCCACGCACAATAAAACTTCCAAGTCGGTATCATTTCTTGCACCTTCTCTTTGTTCCTGCCTTGCTTCACATCTGCAGTTATTTATTAGGGTACCTTTGCTCTCAAATCTCTGGATATTCCTTGCGATTGTAGATTTTCCAGGTATCGGTCTATTCGGCTGCAGAGCAGCAAACATGTCCGACACCTTTTGATAACTATTTCCTTGATAATATCATTTAATCATCAATACTTTTTCTTCGGTAGTGTAATTCATAGCTAATATTTTCGATGTAGGTATGAGTTTTTAATAATAATAATAAAGCACTAAATAGATAAATTTCTGAAATGGCAACTTCATTTGACAGTTATCTTTTACCTTGACTGGTGCTCATAAATAAATACAGGGCCATAAGAAAGGAGAAATATTTATAAAGAAATCGGCGATAACTCGTAAACGGGCTAATCAAAAATATCTAAAGTTATTCTTTTGAAGGTGGGTTTTAGTGCTCTTCAATAAACCTAAATAGAGTTATTCTTTAAAATAATTAGGGAAGCCAATAATTGACCCCATTAAAATTTACATGGGATTTCCTCCATGGATATGTCCCGCTCGACGATGTAACACCCGGTAGTATAATCCTTTATCTTTAATTTCCTTTTTAATTTATGGTAAAAATACCTAGCCAGTTTGACATAAAACGTTAAATGCCGAACGCTTATTTTGCTACTTTTTCGGACCAGTGATATGGACTCTGAGGGTACACTGAAAATATTAATTTGTGAATTTATTAACAACATTGAGGGTTATTTCTTGCCTAAAACTGTTAATCAATAAAACTAGTACTGTATTTTTTATTTTTTTACTTGCTATATTAAAATTCCTTAGTATTTTTAGTTGATCCCTCGTATACGGCCAGCGTTCTGACTGATAAAATAACACTTCCGCGGCACCCGGTAAACGTACAAATTTTTTGTCACCTCGAAGGGTCACGGGCCGCCTTTGAAGTCAAAATAACAATAAAATTCCTTAGAGTGAGCCAACTGGTGTATATTCTTTAAACTGTGCTATTACCTAACACCATTATCTCTGTTCGTTGTATGATTTCCTTCTCCCTAGTTTGCGAATAATATTTTAAAAATCAATAATTATTTATGTATTGTAGCGTTTTTTAAACAACTACCACTGCGAACGGCAGCTTTTCATCGGAGAGCAATCGTGGATAAGGTATTTCACTGGAAAGAAAACTAATTAAGAACAATAAACAAAAAAATAGATATTGGGCGCCAGGCATGTACAGAGAAAGAAAACACAGTTGTAGAATACTTAAAACTAATGACTATATTTATTCATGATGAATTCTGATGGTAAATAGCATTGTACAATTTTAATGATTATTATAGTGGTTATTTGTTGAGTAAAACTATGTATGTAAATAATATTAAATATGTTCTATGAAAAGACTATGAAAAAATACAATGCGTGTAACGTTATAGAAAATATAAGAAAAGTAGCATTACTTTATTTAAATTGTTAAATTTTATGCGGTGTTAAATCTGATATGTTGCAACCTGTAGATTCTAGAATCTATGTCTCGTTATTCATCTGTCAATATAGCGCAATAATAATATCTATAGAAAGTAATACTATTACAAGGCGTAATATAATGAAACCTAAAATCTAAATCACATTGTAACTACTGCATCGACATAAATGTTCTTAATAATCTAACCACTAAATATAGTCTGTACGATATTATTTAAAATGTCCGTTACTGTTTAAGACTGAAAATATTTTAGATGTTAAATGTAAAACTAGAACTTAAATATACACTTAGCTGTTCTTTTATGTAATCTTGCTTCAAACAGTAGCAGCGTGAGGTGGTCTAGCATCTCTGTACTGTCTGTCGGCGATCCTGTTGGTCAAAACAACAAAAGGGGCCAGATTGAGGACACCATGAATCCTTACAGCCGTAGCTACTGACTAGGCTTAGAAATGGGAGTGAAGCAGCATGGGACTCAAGCTACATCCACGCTGTGGCACTTAGATGTAAGAAAAAATCGTTCTTACTGGGGACACTCGTCCACAGGACATCTGTACATAAGATAATGTCTGTACATAAGACACTACCTGTACCTTGGACACAGTCCGTACCTTGGAAATAGTCCGTACCTTGGGCACAGTCCGTACCTTGGACGCAGCCCGTACCTTGGACACAGTCCGTACCTTGGACACAGTCCGTACCTTGGACCCTAAAAATATGAAACTCTTGTTTAAAACCAAACAAGGTCTAATAAACAAAATAAACCTACCTCGAAATACTTCCGAGGGCTCAATAAATAATAAACAACATGTCCTTTCTTCCATGTGACATTCTGGAGGACAAAAGAAAAGGGACGCCAACGTGCCAGAAAAACACAAATACAAGTTGGGACATCCGTAACTCTACCCTAAAAATATTCAATAATAATATCGAATCTATAAAAGGTAAAAACTCATCTTTACCTGTAGCCTCGAAATAGCAGCTGATTCAAATTATACAGCAAGACTTAAATAATCACCATTTCCAAAAGCTGGGATACAACAGAGCGTCAAAACAAAGTGAGGTTAAGCACGGAGAGAGTTGACAGAAGCGATGTTGACAGCGCCTCCTGAGGATAGTAACAGGGTTGTGTCGAACGATAACAGGGTTGGCGACTAGGGAACGTAAAAATTACGCGTCAAATAAACTATCCGGCCTGAACGAGAGGGAATCCGGTGATGATAGGCCAGACATCATATATTATATATAAAAAAGACATGTAACGAACTAAAAACGTTACAGTATACAGAGTGTCTTAAAACTGAATGTTTCGAATTTAAAGAAATATGTCTATTTTTAAATAGGCGGGTCATCTCATATACTTTAAATGCCGTAAAAAAAGGCACGTTTGTATGTAAATGGAGCTTAGAGGGCAAACAAGAAGAGAAACACAAAGAATGAGGTCGTCGACCGGCAATATTTGGTGATTCTATTAGAGACAGTAAGACTCTATTTAAACTATCAATTAGCTGGTTCTTAACAATCTATTTTGTGTTGAATCTTTTGCTTGCTTTGAATAGATCATCGATGATTTTACGATTGTTGTGTTTCGTGCGTAGTTTTACGTGTAGTACCGCAGTGAAATCACGCGTACTTACTAAATATACACTAATTAAAGAAATTATAAGAAAAGAAAAATATTTGAAATTTGTCTAAATGACAATTAAATTCAAATATAAAAAAACAGAAAACAAACAAAAAAAAGCAACGCTTTATTGTACAAAAAGCCAAAACAGCTTCGTCGACAAAGAGCACAAAACAAAAGAGCACAAAAACAAATAATAAAAAAAATGTCATACAATACAAATCAATTCAAAAAAATTTACGTCATAAAATTACAAA